TTTCAAATTTTAGCTGTTATTCTAGCCACTTAGAAAACTGATGTACTCATAAAACTGAAGGGAAGCATATCTGAATACCTTTGCATCCAATATTACATATACACATGTACTAACAAACTCTATCAAAGGGCTGTGGATGTCTTTATTCTGGAAAAATATGCTTGCTCTGATCTGTTCTCTTAATCGTCCTTGGTTTTTCACCAAGAACACTCTGTATAGTTTCAAAAGACAGCTAAGGAATAAAAGTATTCTGAGAACAACAATGGGATAATAGTACAGTACAGCATTCATCCAAACCCACTTCATTTTCTTGCTCCTATAGGCCATTATCTAAAATTCTGTGGAAACTATTTCTCCTGTCATTTGTGTACAGCACAATAAATGCATGTACAAACATACATTCAGGTGATGTGGACAGAAAAACATACGGTGGCTGTAAAAATGAGAGGGTCTGATATCACTCAGAAGGCATCTCTCATCTGCTGACCTAGAATCAGCTCAATCAGTTTAATCAGAACACAACATAACATAACATAGAACAGCTCTGGAGGGACATTCAGAGCCTGGCAGTGGTTTTGTGGCTTCCTCTGTCTAATATACTATTGTTCTTTAAAACTTATCTTTATGGTGCTTCTGTATTTTCTAACTGGCATGCGGAAGTGATTGTGAACAGAAGAGATATAAAGAAAAAGCAGTAAACTGGTATTAACTGTAAAGCACAAGAATGTATTACTTCATGTTTAAATCCCTTACTAGCCTGACATAATAATAAATTGTCTTGTATTTTGGAGCCAAGGATATTTAAAGTACTACCTCCAGATCATTGTGAAAAGAGAGGGAGAAAAATAAATCCATAAAGCAAATGTAAATTATTATATTGATACTCTTCTTTTGTTTACCAATAGTGTCTAAAGTTCATACCAAAACACACTGGGATATAAACTGGATAAATTGTCAGGTAAATCAGGAAAATTCATAATTTCTACAATCAGGAAAACTAAAATACCTAAATTTTTTTTTTTTTTGGAGTGTTTTTCTTTGACTTGCCTTCATGTTCCACAGTTTCTTCAGGTACACTCTCTTGGGGTCCACATTTTTCTGTGCTTTTCTCCCCTCTACCTTCCCATAGGCTTGTGCAGGCTGCCATGCTCTCCTGGTATGCCTTTTACATGCTCTTCTTCAGTCTGACCTTTAATATTAAACACAAGAATTATGTATCTGTTACTTTTTCCCCTTTAAATCAATTTATCTCATAGTTTCCAGCTGAGGAGCAAAAGTACAGACAAGAATGCATACTAAATTAATACGAATTTCCGACATGCTAGTTTATGAGGTGTTTGTGGTTGTTTTTTTTTTTTTCCCCAAAAAGCATCTAATTGCCCTTTGAATTGAAATATATGTTTAAATAATGTACAAAGTAACAACTCCTTTTTCAGATGAAAGTTTTGACAACAAACTAGTCTACCACACTCATCGCAACGCTCTTGGAGCCGCTGTACTTTTTATACGCTTCCACAATCCAACATGGTAACAGTTTGAAATAGCTTCTTAAAGGCTGTGTGCCTGCTAAGGCGCTGGAAGAACTGATTAACATAGGTCTGATCAAAACATATCAATGCCATCAAAACACTTTGCAGACACCCACACCTAAAGCAGAAGCCTTCAGCGGTAGAAGATGGTGAGGATAAGGAAAGCACTGCTGATGTGTTGAGCTGAAGCATCCCCCTGAACGTGGCCAGGCGGTTATCAAGCTCTTCAGAGTGTTTATTCAGCACATAAGATAAGGGCGAATTACTGCATTTAAACCTTGCAAAGCGCTGCTTTGATTTTCTTCGCATTTCCTGCTGCTGCTATCAGGCGGGACCAGGGGAAAACCGGCTGGGAGAGGAGATGGAAATAAACGTGCTGTTCGTGAGGGGAGAATAAGCTGTACCCAAACCAAATGTTCCGATTGCTCCGGTACATTTGCAAGACGGGGGAAAAGGATCGCCGCCGGCAGTTCTCTCGCAGCGGGTTCGGCGTGGGCTGTGCGTGTCTTTCAGCCACGAGGGGGAGCGTCAGCCCCAGGAGCCGCCGGCCGGGGCTGCCCCGGCGCTCCCCGCAGCCCCGCTGCAGCGCTGCCCCGGCGCCGGCTCCACCATCGCCTCCCATCCCCTCGGCCAAACCCAATCGTTTCTGGCGGCAGAAAACTGCCGCCTTACTTGTTTTTGCGGGTTATAAGGGAGAGAGGGAGGGAAGCCGAACGGGGTGTCGTTATTTCGGTGCGAACGTTTACCAGGCAGCGACGCTGATTTAACCCCCGGTCTGAAAGAACTGGCTGGATGCTGTGGAAGTGGTGGGAGAAGCCAGCATTTCACACTGGTCCAGGCCAGTAGCAACTGGTCTGACAACGGCTTTATTGTCTACATGCAATCTGCTTCCCTGTGATGAATGGTATAGTCACATTATATAGAATACCATCCCTGTTGGCATCTTAGACACTGCCAGGTTCTGTAAGGGAGTCAGAAGGAATTGGGATTCCTCCTTCGGCTTGCTAATACTTTGATTTCTCACCTCCAGATCATGCAGTGCTTTCCAACCTTGCCAATAATAGACTAAAGTCATGAAACACCCACACTGCTGTCATGCCTACACTGATGTTTCCTCAAATGCAGTTATGCTGCTGCTGCTGCTGAAAAAAAAAAAAGTATTCCAGATCCACTTGTGGCCTTTCTGCATCAGAGTTAAAGCGTGTTGCTGGGGCCAGGGCAATGCTTTTCTTCACTTGTATCTCTCTGCTCTGTGGGTAGAGAGCACATCAGTCTCCAGCACTGCTGTTTTGATGAAATGGACTGCTGGTACGTTTCAATTAGATTTTCTCACAGAACGTTATGGTCTCTCTGGAGGAATGTCTTACATCTGAATTGCTAATCTGAACATGGCACACATTCAGGTACCCCATTTCTTTTTAAGATCCAAATTTCACCAGGTTCCACACAAGCCTATTGCTCCTGTGTACTGTAATTTATCAACCCCAGCAACACAGAGTCATGAAACTATAACTGGAGATGTTCCTTATAGCAACAAAGTAAGTGCTAGAGCAACTGATGTCTCATACCCTTTCCTTCTTTTATGGTGTCTTTATGTCATATTTGGTTGATAATTAATTAGAAGGTACGAATTAAAATGTCTTTCCTCTCTAAGCAATAGTTCTGTATGAATTCTAATCATTATGCAGCACAGAGCTCCAAACTTTGCCTCACACAGCCGAACAAGGTTATGTTGTTAAATCTAAGTCCTAATCCCTTTTCTGCATAAGTACAGATAGATATTTTTAACCTATTTAAATTTGCATTAATTGTTTGAGTCCATAGAAAACTGATTGTACTTTCTGCTTTGTTTTGGGCAATTCCAAGAAATTAACATGCAGTAAGCTGTTTCTCTAGATATTGAAGACTTCTGTTAGGGGTTACAGTTACTAAGCAAATACAAAATACATTCCCTGGTGATACAAAGACACCCCACGATGTTTGCCACCGCCTGCTTTTACCTTGATATGCAAAGACAGATGAGGCTCCATCATGATCTCCGGTTGCAAACAGCCAAACTCCTCTATGCCACTTATTCCTACTGATATGAATCCCTTCTTAGACACAGAATCAATCCCAACTTGCCTGTAGCTGATTATCAGCCTCGAGACTGCATGAAGAAAACTGGCTGCCCCTCCTTGCACAGCTGCACTGAATAAAGTAATGGCAATACCACGTGTCACCTGGCATTGCCCTCTACCCATGCAGGTATGCTCCTCAAAGAGATCTGCATATTTTATTAAAAATATATTTAACAAAAATAAATGAGAGAAAATGTTGTTGAGGCCCCATCCCTGGAGGTGTTCAAGGCCAGGCTGGACATGGCCTTGGGCAACCTGGTCTAGTGGGAGGTGTCCCTGCCCATGGCAGGGGGGTTGGAACTCGATGATCTTCACTAAACCATTCTATGATTCTATGATAATGCAAAATTGCCTATATGATAGCTACATGGGCGGTCTAATTAATGTTCTCTGATCACGCATAGGGAAGAGTTTTCATTTATTTCCTCTTGTATTTCCTTTAAAGCAGAACTTCAACAATTATTTCTTGGCTCTACTGCACATTATATTGGGATTTATTGGGAATTATTTATTCCCAAGCTAATTCTTTTTTCATCAAAGTATTAGTTTTTTACTCTGACTATACCCAGCTTAAAATTTAAACACCAAAATCAGATATTGTTTCTGTTACCTAATTAAGTGTGAAATGTTTTAAATGGAAGAACAATGAAATAACATCCTTAAGTGCTTTCTGGAAATCTGCTGGGATTCAAAGTCTTTATCACAAATAAATAGTGCTTTTTCAAAAACTCATTTAATAAATGCTCCAGACAAGTCACAGTGAACCGAAGTATCACTTTTGCCATATTTCCAAAAATTTTTCTATGTTTGTGTGTTTTACTCAAGTGATATTGCTCCTGAAACTGTAATTAGTTTTGGAAGTTGACACAAGTTAGAAAGTTGAAAGACAACTGAAGACATACAAAGTTCCTAGCGCACAGCTTCAGTCCTCTAAGAAATAGCAATATCACCTCAAGAAATCAACTTTTTTCTTCTCCATTGCTGGAGCAATGTTGTATTGAAATAAACAGATAAGAAGTTACTGCTTTCTAATTTTGCTGGCTACTGCACTTGTATACTTCCTTCTGTTACTCAGCACAGTTCTTTAACTCCAAAGACAGGCAGAGAAAGCTTCCCAGACTGAGCTCGCTGTTAGGTCTTTCACATCTTACCTGCCAATGCAAGAAAATGACAGACTACTCGGAAAAGGAGTAGAACACAGTCACCAGTTCTGCATTACTTCCTTCATCATCCATGGTCACTAGAAAAAAAAGATCAGATTTGGGTGTTTCTAAACAATTAATCATGTTTCACAAGCTTTTATTTACATTCTAAATTGTACCCTATTTACTTATATGTAGTTTCATGTGGTTTTATTGCCACAAACATTTTCTCCTACCCTTTTTACTGTCAACTTGGTTCATGGAATTTTGTTTTCAGGAGGAAAATGTAGAAATGAGGAGAGAGTGAAAATGTAAGTTCTACATAAAGTCTGGGTTAATTAAAAAAAATAATACTTTGTCATGTTTTCATTTTCTGATCCCTCTCCCCCATCCTATTTTTTGGGGGAAACACATGGGGATGGGGAAAAATTATCATTACTTTTTCCTCAGATGTCTTTTAAAGGATAGTTTCTAGTACTGGGTGCTTTTTATCCATTTTATTGGGAATAGGATCAGGTCCAAACTGTATTTTACTTCAGTGATGACTGATGTGTATAAATATTCATGAGTCAACACCTGGGTTTGGCTATTTTCTAAAAGCTGTATAACTGTTATTGCAGTTGTATGTGTGGACTATAACATCTCATTTGAATTCATGAGACCTGTTATAAATTTTAAATATATATGAAGTGATATTAAAATCTAATGAAGAACAAGAATCCCATCTGCTACCTGCAATCTAGTAATACCTGCATAACATAACAGAGGGAAACAGTAACGTAAGCAATGAAGATGGAAACTTGTTTGTTTATTAAAACTTCAAATTTGTTCTGATCATTCCTTCTAATCCCTGTTGATAAAAATCATGTTCCAACGTGGCTTCTTTCCAGATCTCTCTAGAGATCCTTGTGTTTTAACTCACTAAATGTTTAGTAGAGCATCTAACCACCATATTTTTCTTAAAGAAGAAAACTACTTAAATTCCCTAAGAGCAGCCTGTTTTATATGCAACTTTCCTCATACATGACCGTCTTTTGAAGATACCTGCTCTCTTATTTCTGTGGACTGTAAGACAACTGAGTTTTGGGTCATGAGAATTGCAGGGACAAAAATGGTGTTACTTTACATGTTACATTTACACTACCCATAAAGATGCAAGACGTTCTTCAGGATACTAAACAACATGTTTTTTCTCACTTGCCAATACTTTTAAGAAGTTAAGGGGAGTACGTTCTGATCTCAGTGCATGAAAACCTACTGCACTTAATATTGTACGGTATCATATCAATGGCCCAGCCTAAAGAGAACAGAACAAACAGGTGTCTACTGAACTCCAAATCCCTCTGAAATCTACTATCTGTCCACTGGGTAAGAGCAAGCTCATTAAAGGGCTATGACTAGATCTGTGCAGATTCATTAGTGTGTTCCCTATCAAAGGGCATGAAAACACAGGGCTGAAGTTTGGCCCTTGGCTATCACAGTTTTCTTAGGTGGGGTCAAGAATTTTTCATGCTTCTCAAACCAAAGGAAAAAGCAGCAAACAGCGAGGAAGGACTTGAAAGATTTCTTCTGTCTTTCTTCCTCTGAAGAGGGGAAGAAGGAAACAAGAGCAGAAATCTGTCAGAAGAATACAGAGAAGTATGGAAAAGCTGGGGCAACAAGGAGTTTGGTAAACAGACACAGATGACATCCACTATGTAGACTTCAGGAAGATAAAGAATCTTTTTTTAATTGCAGATTAAAAGCAGAATATCCTAACGAACTAAAAATCGTCTATTTTCACTACATACATCAAGCTCCTTTAGTAAAGACATTTATAAACTGTCAATATTGGCCCCTTGTGACCGCCTCCATCATGCACCATAATTAAAGTATTTCTGTCTCTATATCACTGAGAAATATGCAATCAGCTAGATCATTTCCCTTAGCAGATGCATTTAAATGCTCCAGTGGTGCCACATACTGGCTTCTACAACTGCCTTTCACTGTGCAGCTGCAGCAACAGGAAGAATACGCCTCTCCAGAGGTAGAAAGAGGAGGCATCAGCAAAGCCGACTTGTTACAATTGCTGTCACTCGCACAGAAAAAAGATTTCTGCTCTGTTAATAGAAATCTGAGGTTTTTACAAATGGCACAACAGATGCAGTGCACTGACGAAAACAACGTAGACAGTGATGCTGCAAAAACTCTTCAGGCAGAAACGCAGTTGTCATGTACTAAACATCTCACACACACATTGCCACGGCAATGATTTTAGGAACGTTTGGCGGGACCCTAAGCTAAACTCCTGCTCTTTCTGAAGTATTCCTTGGGGCTTCACTTCCAGATGGAGAAACAATAGAGCTGAGTTCATCATGTCA